AAAAACCCAAGTGAATCTATTAATGACCGAGATCAGTAACGAGGGTGGGGAAAAAATATTGGACACGAAAAAACACCAGAACATGACGATGATGATGATCATAGCTACAGCGCTCGCTAACTGCAAAAGTTACAAACTGATACCTGAAGAGGGCTCCACGGCCGAAACGTGTTTTCTTTCTTCTCTTTTCAGCGTGGAATAAACCTATTACTTGTACCTTTGCAGCCTACGCATGCTGACGCAGCTACCCACCTAAAAGTTAGAAACATTTCAACTTTGAAACTCTCTGGATGCGATACGTTCACTCTTTCACAGATTATAAATCTAAGGAGGTATTCGTTTGATATTTGCATTTTCCTCCTTTTCCACGTTTTTCTATCTCAGTCTTTGTTTCTCTGTAGTCCATATTTCATTTTTTTGCTTCCTCTTTTTTGTTCGTTTTGTTTTAATCTGTAGAGTGTCCCCAAACGCTGTTACAAAGCCTTGTAATTTAATGTACGCTGGAGACGCACTGTGATTGAAGTGTGGCACAGACGCGCTCTGTCACAGGCAGAAGTAAAAACTTGACAAATATTGTCAGGGACCGGTGTAGTATCTCAATCCTTGCTTTCTCGGAAGAAGACTACCCTTCATTCATAATTTCATAAACGCAAGCGGTAGCCTTGTCTCTCCCGCAACCAAGCGCTCACATTTTTACACCCAGTTACCGATAACCTGGAGCGCTTCCAGGTAACATGACCCGGCAGCGAGGAGTTTCGCTGTGCGCGTCTGTGGGTTTCCTTCAATGCAGTCTGGTGGTGATACAGTAGATTAATTTTCATTCTGAGCTTTGTCACGACAACCGAAAGGAACATAATACTGTAATCGCAAACCAGTTGCATCCACACAGCGTTTTGAAAAGAGATTTTATCATGGAAATGTCTGTATGTTTTACACATGAAATGTTCTGTTCATTAAAGGTCTCCCCTCATACACGATTGTCTATTTTATTTCCGCTTGTATCGATGGTCTATGATGTTGTTTTATTTTGAAAGATTGATATTATGTAAACCTGCTGTTATTACTGTTAAAAGCAAATCCACCGATGTTATCGAGAGGGCCCTCACCTGGGCCAAAAATAGCCCTCGGATCATCAACTCGACAAGGAACTCCCGGTCTCACAAGCGCATTCCTTTGGTGCTTCCCTACCACTCTAACACATTTGCTATCCCCAGGACCATTATTAACAACTACTCCATTTTACAGGGCGATCCCCCCATCAGTACCCTTTTTTCTAACCGCCCAATCATCTCATACCGCCGACCACCCAGTCTGCATAAACTTCTGGTTCACCACTCCCTCGACCGCACTCGGCAGTCATCCCCCCCAGCCACCTTCCCCTGCTACAGAACTCGCTGCATCACCTGCAAATACATATCTAACAACAGCACGCTCATTCAGGGCCCCTCAGGTCAATTCCGGATCACCCAGACAACATCCTGTACCTCCAGCAACCTCATTTACTACATCTACTGCCAAAAAAAAATGCCCAGCTATCTACGTTGGGGAAACTGGAAGGAGACTAGAAGATCGCTTCAGCTCATTGTTTCTCATTTCAACTCAGACGGCCATGATCACACTGATCTCTCTGTCTCTTTTCTCAAAGAAGGGTTTCTCAACTCCCATAGCAGAAAAACAACAGAAACGAAAGTCATCCTGAAACTAGGTTCACACCACCCCCCTTCTCTCAATGACGGACTCATTTTAGTATAATCTTCTCCTTTCTCATACAGGTTTTGACTTCACACCTCTTTTTACCCTTCACCACTTCCTGAGTGGCCCCTCTGCCCCTCCTGCCTCCTCCCCTCTCCCCTCTGTCAGCTATGTACTTCAGTGCTATTTAATCTTTGCTGTCAGCCCCGTCTTTCTCACACCTGAAGAAGGCTTCACGGCCGAAACATTGTGTTTTCTTTCTTCTCTTTTCAGCATGGAATAAACCTTTCCTCCATTACTGGTTCCTAAAAGAAAGTCTCACAATATTAATCCTCCTTAATGATCCTCGTTAAAATGCGGCATTTTACGTATCTACAAATAAAGATCTCGAATTGTTAAAAGTCAGATGGTCATGTAGTTCATACAATCGTCACAATCTTTTATGTAACCAGGTAGGTCGTTGAAGAACACTTTCATACTTTCAGACACAAACTGGGCTGAATAAAAGATGTCTAAGGCAGAGTCTTTGTTCTGACAAAAGCACAACATGGGTTTGTCTAATTTGTCTTTTATTTTTGCGCTGACGATACTCAAATATACATCCATACCAAACATTGA